GGATCACAGTCAAGAGCACTATAAAGAATCTCTACTTCTTTTCTTAAGATATCGACCTTCCAACTAATGTGACCTTGTTTCCTATTCAAATCCTTAAGCAACAACTTGAGAGACTTAAGCTTGCTTACCATCGAAAACATGAGGACTCTTGGAATGGAGCAAGCTCAAGCCTTTTGAATAATATCCTTAAACTTAGGCTTGTGAACTAGGTAATTGAAGAACTTGAACGGTTGGGGCTTGAAGGTACAAAACTTAAGGAAGGACATGATTGAAAGGCCATGGTCGCTCAAGCCCAGAAGTCAGAAGAAAGAATCCACTATGGGAACCTTGTATCAAAAAGGGAATTACCCATCACTCGGTCAAGCTTTTTAAGGACTCCATTATTGCCATGAGGCTTGCAATTCCCCGTAAACATGATTCTTGCTTGTTTAATATCATTAACTACTAGATCTTCAACACACTCACGAAACTCCATCATCCCTCCAGAAATTGAAGAAGAGCCTCCCAAACTTTCACTAAGATTAAGTGTAGAATTAAAGTCACCCATGATAATATGAGGGCAATTCCTCACCCCAATCTTATGACGTCTCAAGCAATCCCAAAGCTCACGCCTCTTCATGTGATCATTTTCAGCATACACAAAAGAAGAATGAAACTCATCACTATCACCAATCTCTTTAACAAAATAGTAAACAACTTGGTTAGTCATCCTAAGAACAACAACCCTATAAACCGGGGGATCCCACCCTAAAGCAACTTTGCAACCCCTAGAACCATACTCAATATTTGACACCCACTTTTACCTAAGGTAAACATTATCAAAAATAGGCTTAGCATTTAGACCCGCTATTTATAAACACCCTAACTTCTTCCTGTTTAATGGGCTAATTGAGGCCCCTAACATTTCAATAGGCAATATATTAATCATGGATGAGAGAGGAGGGAGGGATTTCACATCCCTCTTCGGAACAATCTCCTTTGTCGGTTCCCTAATATTGTTACCATCTTTGATAAAATCAAGCATTGATGCCAAGTCTGAATCAATATTTGAATCCTCACAGCCCATCTCACTATTTGCATCCAACCCCTTTTCAAATGACGACAACAGTACTTGGTCCTCATTCATCAACTCTCCTACAATCCCTGACTATATAGCAAGACATTGGAAAGTATTACCCAAACGAATACCTTTCTTCCACTTACTAAGGCAAACCGAACTCTCTTTTTTAGAGCTGATTTTTTGAACTAGTAGAGGAGAAACAAACAAAATCCCGTTAGATACCCCAATCTGGACCCCGAATGCCTATAGGCCACTAGATTGGCCACTCAACGAGGCAGAAGAACTAACTTTGGGGTTGGCCGACACCTTTCCTTTTCCAGCAATTATTTTGAAACTATCTCTCTCATCTTTAGAAGACTTCACCAAAACCCTCACAAGGCTCTTTTCCACTGATTTTGGAAGGTATGCACAAGAGTCATTTTCATGCCCAAATACAAGACAACTCCCACATTGGGAATGCCTCTATTGGTAATCCACCATAACAACCATGGGATTCTCTTCACAAAATTTCTCAGAAGGCATCCTTATTCTAATCATTTTTGACAATTTTGGAGAAGCATCAACTTCAATAAGGATTCTCACAAAACCAATATGGCCTAGCTTATCATCACATGTTTCTTTCGTAATCCTATCCAATGCTAACGGCTTACCCTTTGTACTCGCCATATAGCTCAATCCAACCAGACTCCACAACTTCATTGGGACATCAAAAAATTTAACTTTCAACGAAATAGACCTGGGACAAACTTTATTAAGATCCATTACCGGGTGCCATTTCTGTAGAAGAATAGACTTTTTTCTGAAACAACCAAGGATCGTCCTCCAAGCAATCCGACATTGCCTCCTCGTTTTCAAACTTGAAAAAGAAAAAACCCTTATCGTTTAACATAATATCCTTAAGTGTCGTGTTTCTTCCACATTCTAAAAGCAAAGTGTTGAACGACATGGAACGGTGGCTTCTTATTAATAAATGAACCAACCAAACAAGTCTCCCATTTCCTCCTACCTTAAGAGCAACTAAAAGAGGAGGGCAGCCTGTAATAATACTATCTTGTTCAACCGTCGGCTCAAAATAAGTAAGTTTAACTTTTTCTTTTTGGTGACGATCTATCGCTAATTTCGCCCACGAACGATCCTGCCCATACAACCCACTAGATCCCAAAATCACATTAGCACAAGCATTCGCATCAACCATCTTTTCAGAGTTACAAACATGATTGCTACCAGAATCTTTTTCAAACAAAAGGAAATTCCTATGCAGCCCAGACTCATACCCTTGGCCAACATTCTAATTAGCCCCAACAAGACAAACCACCCCATTTCCACCCAAGCTCGGACCAACCTGCCCATTCAAATCACCGTTACTTTGCTCCTTCTTCCCACTCGAATCATCACAAACTCCCTGCTTTGTAACACTCAAACACCTTGACCCATTAGTGTTAAGAATACCTGGATCAAGAGTGCCACTATTCGTTTCTAACCCACTAGATTTTTCCTGGTCCAAACCGACACCAAGATCCCTCATCACAACCTTCTGCACCCCAGCCAAACCTTTATCAATAGATGGCCGATTAAAGTTCCCTACTACCTCCCTATACTTCCTCATAGGAGGGCTCTTAGAACGATCCCGATTATTACCCTCAGCAGCCATCGAAATCTCCCTACAAGCAAGCAAATTCCCTCTTTGCCGAGAGGCACAATATGAGTTTTTCGAATCCACCACATTACGCTTCCTACTCCTAATAACTTCCATTGCAAAATCGTTCGCAATCTGCTTAAAGACCTCCTTTCACCCCTCTTTAGAACCCAAACATCGAGGGCATCTTCAAGGACGTAGATAGGATTTTTAGTGAATGGGTTCAAAATCTCCAACACTACAATACATTCCCCACCGCCTTCAAACTATTACAAATCCCCACCACCACCAGTACATTCTCCTCCACCTCCTCACTACTACAAATCCCCAACACCATTGGTACATTCCCCGCAACAATTACAACTTATTTTTATCAAAATCATCAACTATAAACTGAAGTCTCAAATCTTATAACTTAGGCTTTTCAAACAATTTTACTAACCCAATAAAATTCAAGTTATAAACCCATGAAAACTTATCAAATCCAACTCTAAATATCAAGCAATTAACTAATATATCAAAATTAAACCGAATCCCCAAATTTTTACAACTTAGGGTTTCCTCAATTCCTTAAACTATTTAAAATCAACTCAATAACTAACCAAAATTTATCAAACCCAACTTAAAACAATAACTAATTAACCCATACCTCAATACAAACAAGATTAAATCAAAACCCACATTAAAATCTAGGAATTTAATCTTTCAATTTCAAACCCATTTATTAAACTCAACAAAAACACATAGCTCATGATCATTCATCAATTAAGAAAGCTAAAAAAAAAAAGAAAAAATTAAGTAAAATAATTAAAAAAAAAAAAATGAGCATCATCTTACCTTGTAATCCAAATGAATAGCCTTTCTTGAGTATCCAATCAATGGAAAAAGATAATATGAGAGAAAATGAGAGGAAATGAAGAAGAAAGAAAAACTAAAAAAGTATTAATTAATAATTCATTTTTATGGGGTTAATATGAATTTAAGTGAGGTAAAAAAGTATTAATTAATAATTCATTTTTGTGGGGTTAACATGAATTTAAGTGAGGTTAAAATCGTAAATTTCATAAAACATAAAGAAATTTTTTTTTTTTTTGGAAAAGCTGAGTGGGATCAATTGAACTGATATGTTTATATGTGACTACCTGCTTCCCACCTGAATTCACAACAGCCATAAGCTCTTCTTCATTTATTAGTTTTATCTAACCCTTAATTCGAAGAATATTTTACATGGTCTGTGCCTGCTATATATCAATAATTCGCCACTAAAATCTATTTTTATTGTCATTATTCTCTTATATTCACGCATATTATCGCACGTTAACACTTGTACTAGATATAGTATGAATACACGAGAGAACACATGTCCATTGTCAAGCTCATGCCTTGACGAATTTTTTTTTTTTCTTTCTTAATTTCTTTTAATAAGTATAAACTAATGTAAAGACAAGTTAAAATATAAATTCGTTGAAGATTAGCACTTTATCGAAGTGCTTAGAGTTAAAACATTAATTAAATCATCACATTCATAGCTTACTTTAGATGACTTCATCGTAGAGAAGAAGCAAGGCAGAGGAAATAATAATTAACATAATTAATAAAACAAGGTGTAATAAATGTTCATTTATAAAGGAGATTGATTATTATGCATTGATTATGATAACCGGCCATTTTTTAAAAGGAATAAGTGCGTCTGAAATGGAAATGAATAACAAATTAAGAAGAAACACCAACCACGAAAACAAACGCAGCTTTTCCAAAGAAAACCAAATGTCGCAATTAGATTTAATGATTTAATCCTCTTGTAAAAATGGTAGAATATTATGAGAAGTAAATAATTAGAAATATTAGTTTAATTAAATTCTAATGCAGACATATTAAAGTTTCTAATGTATAAGTCAAAGATAAACGACTAATCGTTACCTTAACAAAATACAAAATGAAAAGCAAGAGGTCAATCGCTCACTTTTGATTTACGTGTTCAAAACTTTAGGACATTTGCACCTAAGAATTTTCTTATATTAGTTTATTGATCATATTCTTACAACCATTTTTATCTGGTTAGGTGACTTTTGATATTAATTTGAATATATTATATATGTTAATTAAACGAAGATTATAAATTTATATATATTTGGAAAAAATAAAAGGGTATTTAGGTAATATCAAGTTGTAGAATTGAATAAACAATCAATTTCGTTGCCCCATAAATACTACTGATATGTTCACTTATCCCACAATCATCAGTATCACTCACTCTCAAAGTTTGAGTCCTTCACAAAATTTATTTTACTTTTTAGCATAAAAATGGGAAGGTCTTCCCTCTACAGTGACGCCAGCGGCTTGAAGAGAGGTCCCTGGACACCTGAAGAGGACCAGAAACTCTTAGCCTACATTCAACAACATGGCCATGGAAGCTGGCGTTGCTTGCCCGAGAAAGCAGGTCAACTTTCAACTTTTGGTTCTCTTTTTAAACTTACATATAGTGCTTCCATATATCAATCAATCTTATGGCTTTTGAGTTTTTAATTATATGTGTTTGTTCATCAGGTCTTCAGAGAAGTGGGAAGAGCTGCAGACTGAGATGGATTAATTATCTGAGACCTGATATTAAGAGAGGAAAGTTCAGTCAACATGAAGAACAAACTATCATTCAACTTCACGCTCTTGTCGGCAACAGGTTTATAATTGTGTGCTTTTAAATATTATAAGTATGAAACCATAACTTGATTGACAAATTTTCTTTCTAGTTTTTTGACTTTTTAGTATTAATGTGGATTATATATATAAAGTTTCTCTTGTTGATGGTTAGGTACCGTCGAATTAATATAACTATTTTTTTATATTAATTCATCTTTGTCTAAAGATCTTGAAAATCTTTAAATTTGTGCTTTATCATAACCAATATGTTAGGCATGTTGTCTATATATCAAGATTGACATCTTTCAATTCTCTTTTATATAATTAGGTGCTCATGTTTCATATGAATGTTACTCCCATTTTTTAAAAAATTTGGATCATTTTTTAATGATTCGTATACACATCAACATTTGTGTTCGAGAATTTTTAGTCATTGTGAGTATTTTTTTAATTTTTATTTTTAGGTGGTCTGTCATAGCCGCTCACTTACCAAAGAGAACAGACAACGAGATCAAGAATTATTGGAACACACACATCAAAAAACGATTAGCCATGATGGGTATTGATCCGGTGACTCACAGGCCCAAGGTTGCCTCTCTCGGCGCGGCCGACGGTGGTCCAAAGAACGCCTCCAACCTCAGCCACATGGCTCAGTGGGAGACTGCTCGACTTGAGGCGGAGACTCGATTGGTGAAGGAGTCAAGGGCTAGGCACAATGAACCAACGACTGACTCATTATCACCACGCTCTCGCCCTTCACCTTCAGTTCACTTACTAAAAAAAATGGCTACTAGACCACGTTGTCTCGACATCCTCAAAGCCTGGCAAAACGTTTGTTTCAAGGCGTTCGAAAGTAGCATTAATAGTAATAATATTACTGATCTTGAATCACCAACATCTACTCTGCATTTTTGTGAGAAGACACAAGCACCGCCAACTGTTAACGCATCGTTTAGAGAAGAAATGAATGTAGGATTAAATAAGAGCGGTGTTGACATGGTGCTTGAGGCCGCCGGGGAGGTATGGACCGGAGCTAACGATTTCCTTGACAGGTTTAGCATGACTTCGATGATCATGGCATTAACACAAGTATGCATATCGGTAGCGGAACAAGTAATCATCATGAAGACAACAATAACTACTATTGTAATGATATCATGAGTTTAATATCTTCACCAGTGTACTCGCCCACGTTCTAACCAGTGGAAGATTATGTACAATAACGGTCAATAGTCGGCTAGATTCAAATAACCTTCATGAATAATAAAGAGAAGAAAAAAAAAAATTGCGTGTTTCGCTACCACAGGAATAAATTCGTTCTGCAAATCACAAATTCGTTTGCTCTGTCGATGTGTTGTTCCATATGGGTCACTGGTGTGTTAAATAATGGCTTCCGATTCTTCTTGTAATCGTGGTTTGTTAATATCCAGAATTTCCTCTATTATCGATCTTTCCTTTATGTTCACTAAATTCTAAATAAGGGTTACTTAACATTGAATGATATGATCATTTGTGTTCTAATAATATTCTACCTCATGCACTCATTCATGCAAATTATTAACCGCCATTACTACTGAAGAGTTGCAGAATCAAAAGCTTATCAACAGTTCAACACAAGAGGGCTTCAATAAATAGTTATATAAGATAGTCTTTATCATCTCATTTTGTTAACGGTAATAAGACCCTTGAATGATATAAGGATATGTACTGTTTGTATAGTTATCATTTTTTTTTTTCATCTATGTATCACCATGATTTATAAATAACTATCCATTATCTTTTATTAATAACCACCGCTATGGGAGCTGTTTTTAAAATTTAGCAATACATATTTTTGTTTCATTTAATGGTTTTACTATATCAACAAAATGGTGAGATGGTGAAACAGTCGTGTATAAGTTATTCTCACCTTTCAATCATTATCCCTTACATACTGATGGTAATAAACCAATACATTTCTAATAAAAGTTTATAGGCAATCAATAAATCATTCTTAGCTATCGAGCCTCACATATTACATTAATAAAGACTTTATACAAAATTATTCATATAAAATGATGTGACAATACTCTTACATTGTTATATTATTACTATTATTTGATGTGCATTTATTAACTTGATATTTTATATTAATTCATCCTATCATACTCTAACACTTCACTTTATATGAAAAATTTTATATAGAATCTTTATAAGTATATTATTTTTCGTAATTTAATAATAACAAAATTCTGGTGCATCTGATAAACTTCATTACAGTAATTAATTACCAGATAAAATTTTTCAGTTAGTTACACTGGAAGCGCGAATTGAAAGAATCGTTTTTACTGTTTTTTAGTTTGTTAATCAATTAGTAATCTTACCTTTTGTTTTTTTTTCTATGAAAAAATGCTAATTAACTGACTACTGATATTGTTTATCAACAAGCTACAATTATTTCAGTTATGAAACCAAGAAAGAAAATGGTTTTAAAATGATAAATAATTCAGTTTTGGAAATTCGGGTCTGCAGGCTTGGTTGTAAGTAGGCATTTTGGACACAATCTTTGGGCATGTCCATATGAATGTGAATGAATAGACATCAATTAATAACATTAAATTTGCAATAACACTACGGACACCGAAATATTTGCACCGAATTTTTGTACCGGCCGACGTGGAACGCGTTTCTCTATTTTTTTATAATTTTTCTCTAGTGAACGGCCGTCCATCAAATTTGGACGGCCGTTCACTCACATGGACGCCCGTCCATATTATATGGACGGGCGTCCATATTCAAGGGACGGTCGTCCATATAATATGGACGACCGTCCCTATTAAAATAAAAAAAAAATTTGTAAAAGCTTAGGGACGGAATAGATGGACGGCCGTCCATTAATTTTGGACGGCCGTCCATGTTATATGGACGGACGTCCATATGCTAGGGACGGGCGTCCATATAATATGGACGCCCGTCCATAAAAAGTTGTGTTGTTTTAGAAAAAAAAAACAATGGACGCCCGTCCAAATTTTTTGGACGGGCATCCATCTTTTTGGACGGGCGTCCATATAATATGGACGCCCGTCCAAAAGCACATAACTCATTTATGGACGGGCGTCAATATAATATGGACGCCCGTCCAACAGCACATAACTCAGAAACATCCTTGCTGTTGAACAGTTTTTCAACGGTTGTCATGCAGGTCATGCGGCGACGTAATTTCTTCAATGCCGCGGCATCTTCTTCTCTGGAATTTCTTCAATGCTGCAGCATCTTCTTCTCTGGAATTAATTAAACGAAGATTATAAATTTATATATATTTGGAAAAAATAAAAGGGTATTTAGGTAATATCAAGTTGTAGAATTGAATAAACAATCAATTTCGTTGCCCCATAAATACTACTGATATGTTCACTTATCCCACAATCATCAGTATCACTCACTCTCAAAGTTTGAGTCCTTCACAAAATTTATTTTACTTTTTAGCATAAAAATGGGAAGGTCTTCCCTCTACAGTGACGCCAGCGGCTTGAAGAGAGGTCCCTGGACACCTGAAGAGGACCAGAAACTCTTAGCCTACATTCAACAACATGGCCATGGAAGCTGGCGTTGCTTGCCCGAGAAAGCAGGTCAACTTTCAACTTTTGGTTCTCTTTTTAAACTTACATATAGTGCTTCCATATATCAATCAATCTTATGGCTTTTGAGTTTTTAATTATATGTGTTTGTTCATCAGGTCTTCAGAGAAGTGGGAAGAGCTGCAGACTGAGATGGATTAATTATCTGAGACCTGATATTAAGAGAGGAAAGTTCAGTCAACATGAAGAACAAACTATCATTCAACTTCACGCTCTTGTCGGCAACAGGTTTATAATTGTGTGCTTTTAAATATTATAAGTATGAAACCATAACTTGATTGACAAATTTTCTTTCTAGTTTTTTGACTTTTTAGTATTAATGTGGATTATATATATAAAGTTTCTCTTGTTGATGGTTAGGTACCGTCGAATTAATATAACTATTTTTTTATATTAATTCATCTTTGTCTAAAGATCTTGAAAATCTTTAAATTTGTGCTTTATCATAACCAATATGTTAGGCATGTTGTCTATATATCAAGATTGACATCTTTCAATTCTCTTTTATATAATTAGGTGCTCATGTTTCATATGAATGTTACTCCCATTTTTTAAAAAATTTGGATCATTTTTTAATGATTCGTATACACATCAACATTTGTGTTCGAGAATTTTTAGTCATTGTGAGTATTTTTTTAATTTTTATTTTTAGGTGGTCTGTCATAGCCGCTCACTTACCAAAGAGAACAGACAACGAGATCAAGAATTATTGGAACACACACATCAAAAAACGATTAGCCATGATGGGTATTGATCCGGTGACTCACAGGCCCAAGGTTGCCTCTCTCGGCGCGGCCGACGGTGGTCCAAAGAACGCCTCCAACCTCAGCCACATGGCTCAGTGGGAGACTGCTCGACTTGAGGCGGAGACTCGATTGGTGAAGGAGTCAAGGGCTAGGCACAATGAACCAACGACTGACTCATTATCACCACGCTCTCGCCCTTCACCTTCAGTTCACTTACTAAAAAAAATGGCTACTAGACCACGTTGTCTCGACATCCTCAAAGCCTGGCAAAACGTTTGTTTCAAGGCGTTCGAAAGTAGCATTAATAGTAATAATATTACTGATCTTGAATCACCAACATCTACTCTGCATTTTTGTGAGAAGACACAAGCACCGCCAACTGTTAACGCATCGTTTAGAGAAGAAATGAATGTAGGATTAAATAAGAGCGGTGTTGACATGGTGCTTGAGGCCGCCGGGGAGGTATGGACCGGAGCTAACGATTTCCTTGACAGGTTTAGCATGACTTCGATGATCATGGCATTAACACAAGTATGCATATCGGTAGCGGAACAAGTAATCATCATGAAGACAACAATAACTACTATTGTAATGATATCATGAGTTTAATATCTTCACCAGTGTACTCGCCCACGTTCTAACCAGTGGAAGATTATGTACAATAACGGTCAATAGTCGGCTAGATTCAAATAACCTTCATGAATAATAAAGAGAAGAAAAAAAAAAAAAAAAAAAAAATTGCGTGTTTCGCTACCACAGGAATAAATTCATTCTGCAAATCACAAATTCGTTTGCTCTGTCGATGTGTTGTTCCATATGGGTCATTGGTGTGTTAAATAATGGCTTCCGATTCTTCTTGTAATCGTGGTTTGTTAATATCCAGAATTTCCTCTATTATCGATCTTTCCTTTATGTTCACTAAATTCTAAATAAGGGTTACTTAACATTGAATGATATGATCATTTGTGTTCTAATAATATTCTACCTCATGCACTCATTCATGAAAATTATTAACCGCCATTAGTAGAACATTATATTGTATTACTTTTATATTATAATATGTTTGGTCTCTGTCCCTTGCCTATTATAATGTGGAAATAGTTTATGCCTCCATCCTTGTACATTATAACATTATAAATAAATAAAAAAAATTTAAATTATTTATAAAAAAAATTCAAAAGTTTTTACAAACCTATACCTCATCACTATCAACCTCTATTCAATATTTATGTCATTCCATCCAAAACCACTTATGTTCAACATGTATATTATACAATATTGTCTTTTTCCACTTTCTATGCTTCAAATCAATGTGTGAAACAACTTTCAATCCAGAATTTTGTAATATGGTAGTCTATGTCTTTTCAATTTGCTTCAAAGTACCAAATTTAAATTTTCCACTTTCAAGATTTGTCCTCTACAACCATAGGCTCCGACTGTTTAAGTAATGCATCTTCTTCAAATTTGGTCCATATACACCTAATTCCTTTCTTTCCAACATTCTTTTCTAAATATAGATAATGATTTATGAAATTATATTTTTAAGAGATAAAAAAACCATATAAAAACGTAAAAAGAGAGATTAAAACAACCATATAACAACATAATAAGAAAGATTGAAACAATATATATATATATGAAGTTATTGTCATTGATAATTATAAACATATTACAAATTCATTAACAATAATTCATAAAATAAATATTCTTAAAAAATCAAACTATAACAACATTATCTCCTTAAACTAACAACACTAGCGTAGTTAGATATATAGAAGGGACATTGCCACAAACCCCAGCACCCCAATGAAATACAACAGTGAAATCGTTGATGAATAGATGGTTAGGGTCATCCTCCAAACCATTATTGTAGTTTGGAGACAAGGGCATATCCGTTATAAAATACACGTTCGCAATCCTTCCTTGCCATATAGTGTTGAAACTACGCTCTATAAGCTTTAAGTCCCG